CTTCCGACTCCTTTGGCCCCTTGCATTTCCTGCGATTTGTGCCGTCCGCCCGCTCCCCGCGCTCCTCGAGCGCTCTACGCGCGCGCGCGCCTCGCTCGGCTTCTCTCCTTTCTTCTTTCCTCTGCCGGCGCGATAAAATTCATCGTACGTAGTCGGCCGGCTCTCCAAGGCTACGATGGCTCGCGACAAAGTCATCAGCGCGCGCCGTCGCCTTTCGGTCAGCCCGGACGACCGGCGAAGGAGCTACCGATGCGTTTGTCGTCCACGGAGAGCGTATCTTTTGCGCGCTCGGCGCGAAACTGCGTTTAAAGGGTTCGCCCCGTTACCGCGCCGGCTTCGACTCGGGGAAACAGCCAGTTATCCATTTGTAACCGGAGAACGGAGTGGAGAGAGGTTGAACAAAGGCGAGGTTTCGTACGCGAAAAAATGCGCCGAGTGTAGGGGTTTTCAAAGAGGCGTGTGTGCCTGCGTGATTCATACACTCGTCGCGGGGAGTGCTGAGGTGTGTTCAGCTTTGCCATTTCTTTCTTCCCCCCTCCCCTCTCCTCCCTCGCTCTCTCTCTCTCTCTCTCTCTCTTTCTTTTTTTTCCTCGACTTTGTAAAAGTCACTTGAACTACTTTTGCCACTTTTGCATCCAGTGGCGCCGTCATCGCGGTGCGTGTTCACAGTGGTTTTTTCGCCCGTCAACGATGAGATTATTTTTTTTTTTTTTTTTTCGAAGCGTTCGGCGCAAACTCTGCACGAAGCCACGGTGAAAAGAAATCAACGAGCTTTTTTCCTTCCACAGAATGAGCTAACAAGCGCGATTCAGGGTGTCACCCGAGATGACGAAATTCAAGATCAACTGAAACGCATCAAGTGGTTCATCAAAGAAAGGGGAAAAAAATACGCGCGTACACACGTTCTCTAACAAAAAAGAAGAAAAAGCAAAAAAAACAAGAGTCGGAGCCGCATGCCCAGACGCGCGTGCGCATATACACACGATCCCCGCTCCCTCTTTCTCGCACACACGTACGCGCAGCGATAAGCGGCTGTGTGACCCGAATACGCATTGCGTCGGAGAAAGAGAGAGAGAGAGAGAGAGAGAGACAGAGAGAGCGAGAGAGCGCGCGCGAGATCTCGTTCACGAAAGGCTCGTTGTGGCTGCGGCGATTTGTCGAGGCACGGGGTGTGACGCTGCTACGATATCCGAGGGGGCAGCACGGCTCGGAAAGCCAATGCACTGTAAGGAGCTCACGCTCTCTTTCCCTCCTCCCACTCCTCCGCCACCTCCTCGCGCTCTTTCGCAACCAAGGAGGCTATACGTGCGCTGCACGGAACGTGACGGCGCTCGCGCGGCCGACTCTGTCCCTCCGCGCCGTCGCTCGTCGCACTCGACGACACTCGTTGCGCGTTGATTTTTCAGCAGGCTATACGGTTTTGGAATTTCGAAGCGCTCATCCCTGCGCCACCCATTCGTATATATGTATACGTACACACTTACAGATGTACCCGCGCGCACGTATAAGTTTGCTCAACGCCCACTAAGCTCCCTCTCTCTCCCCTCTCTCGGCGTCGCTCGGAGGGAGAGAAAGAGAGAGAGAGAGAGGGACTGTCTGTTCATTCACGCGCACGGCAACTCGTTCCCGCGTCCTCCTTTACCGTTTTCTTCCTTATCTCTCTTTCTCTCTCTCGCGCGCGGGCCGCGCGGCGGCGAGGGCTCAGACTCGACCCCGACCAACCGCGAGAGAGAGAGAGAGAGAGAGAGAGAAGAGAGCGCGCGCGCGTTTTATCGAGGCAGCGGAAAATTCGAGAGGTTGATGATCTCTCCGAGAGCCGTGAAGCGCGGAGCAGGGTTGCCTCGCTTCGACCCGACCATTTACGGACTCTCGGCGCGCGTCGCGTTTGCGCTCCGCGCGCTCGCCGCGAGCTGCTCCTCTCCGCGCGACGAGCGCGCAAGCTCGTCGCGCGGAGAGGGCGGCGCGCCGCGGCTCCTCGAGCCGAGCGTCGTACGGTCTCCCCGACAGAGCGTGCCCGTCGGCGGCCGACGGGGGTGCGCGCTTCGCCGAGGATTCCACGCTCGCCGCGGCCGGTGGCCCGTCGCTCTCGATTGGCCTTCGAAGGAGCGATAGCGGCGCCCCGCGGCCGGCTTTCGGAGCTCTCGTTACGTAAACGCCGCGCCGCGCGCGCGGGCACTGGCTCGCTTCAGGGCCGGAACTAGTCTTGCTTGCTCCTTCGACGTTTCGAGCTTTCTCTCTGCCTCGCTCATCGCTGGTTGCGGCTTCGGAGCAGCACTTCGATTCTTTTCTTGGCGGCATTGCGCACTTTTGGCTTACAGCGTGGCACTGACTTTTTTTCGCACAATACCATGTGTTTCAGCTTACAGCCTCGCCAGATGAATTTTTTTTTTTTTTTTTCGATTCAAATATTGCACGTCAACGATGCTCGGCTAAACAGAGGCGTGAAATAATCTTCAGCAGCTGGTTCGCACACATCTAAAGATAAATGTCGTCATAATCGGAGCCCGTCAGTTTCCACCAATCAAGAAGCTACGTGCTTCGCCAACGATTTCATGATTATCGAGGAGAATCGCGCGACGCATAAATGAGGAGTTTGCAAACAATTAACGCACGACAGATCCTGCTCGTCTCCCCTTCGATCGAAAAATTCCAAAGAGCGACAAAGCCCATTGAAAGGCAAAGCGCGCCTAAAAATAGCTATGCAGCGCGCGTGCACAATGAGCCACGGGTACGTAGCTGCAGAAGGGAAAGCTCTCGCCGGCAACAACGAAAAAACTTCGCCTAATTATCGTAGCTCTCTTTTCTCCGCTTCTGTCTCTCTCGCGCGCGCGCGCTCGCATTTTCCTTTTCATACTTGCGCGGCCCATTGAGCAATCAAGACAGGGAGAGAGAGAGAGAGGGAGCGATCGCTGGTCGCCGTCGTCGTCCCGTTAGAGAATGGCGCGTGAGAGCAAAGAAAAAAAAAGCGACTTGTCGGCTGCGCCGTCCGAGGATTAGAAGAGGAGTTTATGTGAGCTTCGACCCCGATACTCTCTCTGTTTACGCATACCACAGACCGGAATTCCCTTCGAGCTTTCATTTTCGAACGGAGTATTTTCCGAATTCAATCGGCGAGCTTTCGAGAATTTAACTTTGCACGTCTACCTGTGATCGGATCTTCGAAAAGAGAGCTAACACAGGAGAGGGAGATGAAAAAAAAAGTTAGGGGAAACGTACGTCGGATCGATCGTACGCTGACATTACGCTCCTCGCGTCTAGCGTATACTACGTCCACTGGTCGTCGACGTCGACGTCGAGGGGAGGTCGTTGAACCGAAACAGCCAAAGCCGCGTGAAAAGGCGTCGCCGACGTCTAGTATTATTGCCGACGACGAGGCAACAATGTTTTTCGATCGACGCGCGCGGCCGCACTCCTGGAAAAAGAAGCCGAGCTCTCGTCACGAAAATAGGCTGCAGCGGCATAAAACGCCCCTTTCTTCCCGTTATACCGTCGTCCTCCTTAGCTCGAACCAAGCCGCGCGCCTTCCCTTCTTGCTCGTTCGCCGTTGTAATGAGATTTCAACGAGGTTAAAACATTCGAGTCGGCGGCGTCCGGCCTCTCTCTCTCTCTCTCTGTCTCTCCTCTCCTCGTGCGTACAGGGTACTTCCACAGCGATATCACGGCTTTTATATGCGCCTCTCGTTTGGGCAGGCCTCTCGCTCTCGCACGCGCGGGGGTACTCTCTCTCTCTCTCTCTCTCTTCTTTCCAATCGTTCGCCTCAATTAGGAATGCGCGTTGGGACTGAATTCTTAGTCTTGCTTCATTTCTTTCGGCTTTTTTCACTGTGCGAGGCGAGATCGAATCACTGGCAGAGACACGCGGCTTGAAATGAATGCCGTACGTTGCGATTACCGCAAGCTCTGCAGCGATGATTGATTTGATATATGCGCGAGGGATGTCATCGTCGAATTCATTTATCGACTTTGATTGCGATGTGCTTTTCCGCTCTGCTGCAAGCGTCGCATATGTCAATGTTTCTTTTCTCTAAATTAGTATGTAATCGGGTAATTTCTACTATATAAAGCTTTTTTTATAAGCGATGATTATGATCATGATTTGCGGTTAAAGTTTAAATACTATACGACTTATTTGTACAAGTTTCGAATAGCAATTCAAACGCTATCTTGATTTCATTACATTCATGAAATCCGACTAAACAATCCTGTTGGTAATGAAATATGATTTAAAAGAAAAATAATTCAACTTATTTAATGGTATTTTCATAAATTTATTGTGAGTACTAAGTGTAAAAGTTACTTAAAACTTATGCAAGTGATATTCAATGGTATATTATTAAATACTTCAAATTTGACCATTTTCTTGAAAGATTCTTTTTCTCCTCAAATGATATGTGTCATTTAATTTTTGGATTATCATCCATATAGTCGATTGAATTATTCCTTTATTCATTTGATAAATAACCTAATTTGATGATTTAATGATTTAATCAACACAAGTTTAAACATTTCCTTGTTCTCATTTTGGAGCTTAAACGCCATCTAGACGTCACGGATTAGACCAATCAGATTACGAGATATACTAACTGTCGGTAACAATATATATATATATATATATATATATATAGTCGAAATTGTAATTTGTAATCACATATAATAAAACTATTTAATTAGAACAAAACTAAGTACACACTTTATCTTATTTAATATAAATTAAAAATTACTCTTTTGTAAAAGTGAAACCTTAATTACTCTTAACAAAGCTTTTAAATAAAACTTGAATAAACTCAAAAAAATGTTTGTTATCTTAAAAGACAATGCAGAATCAAATGTCAAATATTCATCACCGTGTTATTCCAAGAAAACTAATATAGTCAGGAGATAAAAGATAAGTACTCTGTACTTGAGATTTTAAAGCGCAGTCGCAGAACAAACATACTGCCACTCGCCATTCGCCACTCGCCAGTCGCCACCCCCATTCCATCTCATCAAAGCATCACACGCTATAAGCGCATCCATGCATAGCAGCGCAAAGGCAATATTACACTGTAGCACTATAGAGTGAACAACGAGGCCACTGCGCAAGCTTAGTCAACGTTGATCGTCCGTCGTGATAAATGTCCGGTTGTGTCTCTCTTCTCGATCATCCGCGGAATAATAATAACAATGTGCAAATACTGAAATAAAAACACGCTCACACATACAAACGAAGAGCCGGTTTTAACGTCAGCAGTGCTGCTGCTTGTTGAACATCTCTGTCTGTGCCACATCGTCGTGAAGTGTGTCATGCGCCGGTCGGCAACCAACGTTTAGCTCTAGGCATGATGATGGCTAAGTTAAGTGTAATTTTAATATGCTGTGCATTTCTGGAGTTTGTCTCCAGCTCATACGTCTCCGATGGAGCCGATCTTATGTACGTCGAAGTTGACGACACGCCAAAGGTCAAATGGATTGTTCCTGAGACCAACGACATTGAGAATAATAGTCTGACCAGAAGAAAGAGATCATTACATGCGGAAACTGGTTATCACAAAACTCATGTTGCTGGATGGTTTACTAAAATGCCAGAAATATGTCAGAATAAGCTAAAAAAGTTGTGCGTTGTTGTTGACAAAGAGGTGGATGATCTATTTTTCCTTGAGTGTGTTCAGACTTTTAAGGTGAGTGTGTTTTTGCTATGATCATTTTATCAGAATGTAAAAATGTTTTGTTTCATGGTTCATTCATTAGCTTTGATAAACTCACTTATACTTGCTGTGTTTATTTGCAGCCAAACGAAGTATCTGCTATAGGAGATCAATGCCAACACGAGATTTATAAATATATCAAAGATGTTACCACTAATGAAAACATCAAGAAGATTACTAAAGAAGAGTGTGGTGATACATTGGAAAATTTCAAGTGTCCAATGACTTATCTCGGATCTTATTTAGCATGCTTAGTAAATAAAAAAGATAAAGTAGCAGATTTGCAGTGCTCTGACTTTATTCAGCGGCTCGACTGGGTTACCAATGATTTTAAGATTGTCTCTGTTTCTTTTGGTCCTGAGTGCCAGAATGATGTTGAAAAATTTCAATGTGGCAGGATTCAAGTGCACAAGGACATTTTACAAGGACAAACCCTGGCATGCTTACAAAAACATGTTAACAAACTGGAGCTAGGTTGTAAAAAGCAAATTCTCCATGTTACTGAAATACAAGCTGATAATATTAAATTGGACAGGCAACTATATCTTGCATGTTCAGAAGATCACATCAAATTTTGTCCTAATATTCGTCCAGGTAGTGGTCAGGTATACAAGTGTTTAATGCAGCACAAATTGGATAGGTCAATGACAAGGTCTTGCCAAGAGCAATTAGTTAGGAGAGAGAAATTGATTGCTTCAGATTATAGAGTTAGTAGAGGATTAGTGAGAGCTTGCAAAGAAGATATAAAAAGTTACCGCTGTCGTAGAAATGTATCAGATGATAAAGATATAAGACTTGCACAAATTCTTTTGTGTTTGGAATCAGCAGTTAAGAATGGTAGTAAAGTAACTGCTGACTGTCAAGTTGAAATGTTTGACCATAGAAAAATACTTATGGAGGATTATAGGTTGTCTCCAGAAATTGTCAATCATTGTGCCAATGACATTCAACAATTTTGTAACAATTTGGAAGTTGGTGGTGCTACTATTCATTGTTTGATGGAATACACTAGAATTAGGAAGAGAAAAACTAGAGTTTCTCCTGTATGCCAAAGAGCAGTATGTAAAAAAATATATAAATAGAGAATACAATAAGAATATCAAATTACACATCCACATTATGATTTTCAGTTGGAAGAGCTTATCAAAGAAACTGATGCTGGTGAAGATTGGAGAGTGGATCCAGTTCTAAGAGAAGCGTGTCAATCAGTTGTGGATGTGGCTTGCAAAGATGTATGTGTGGCTTTTGTTGATTTAAATATGTCTTGTCAAAGTTGCAAGAATTTCTAGTTGAACAATGTATCTTTTAGGTCCAAGGAGGAAACGCAAGAATAATATCTTGTTTGATGGACAAGCTAGGAACTGATAGAATGACTGAGGCTTGTGAAACAGCTCTTGTCCAAATTCAATATTTTATAGCGAGAGATTACAAACTAGATCCTCAATTGTACAAAGCTTGTAAAGCTGATGCAGTTCACTTTTGCCATGCTAGAGATGCATGGGCCAATGATGGAACACAAGTAGATGTAGAGAATGGCCCACTTGTGTTACCTTGTTTGTACAGATATGCTTATCATCCACAAGAAAATATGACGGTAGCAAGATTGAACTTTTTATAAATAATTTATTACCAACAAATGAATTAACGATCATTCCCTATTTTCAGCTAAAAAAGAATTGTTTAGACGAGATAAGAAGGGTTATGCGACAAAGAGCAGTAGATGTTGATCTCCAACCTGAAATAGAAGAAGTTTGTTTGGAGGATTTAGCATCATTCTGTTTTGATAAGACTGCTAAAGGAGAGGAGATATTATGTTTACAAGACAGATTTGATAGGTAGAATATTTCTTTAGATAATTCAATAAATACAAATGTATCCTATTTCAAATGTAATTTTTTTCCAGTTTGAATCCAAACTGTAAATTCGCTGTAGGTAATTTCACTGAAGTGCAAGCGGAAAGAGTAGAATTAAATCCAATCATTTCAATGTCTTGCCGTCATATTATGGAAAAACATTGCGCGGTAATTCTTTATTTTTAAATATTGCAAATAGAATATTGATGAACGTACAATAAAATTTTTGTGTCTGCAGGATGTAATTAAATTTGGAAGAGATGAAGGTGACATGATGGAGTGCTTGATTGAGCATAAAAATGAATTAGACAGTCGGACAGATAGTAAATGTAAAGCTGCAGTTGAACATTTCCAATTAATCTCTCTTAAAAATTACCACTTTACATTCAAGTTTAAAGAAGCCTGTCGGCCAATGGTCGTAAGATGGTGTCCATTGTAAGTAACTTGTTTTATTTGTCTACATTGAAAATTAATCTTTCAACTAACATGTTATGATTTTTACAGAGCCAAGACTAAAGGTGAAGTTATTGCTTGCTTAAGTGACATTGTTCAAAAAGACATTATCCAAGATTCTCAACATAAAATTACAAGAGAATGTCGACAGCAGCTCAGAGCTCAACTTTATCAGCAAAAAGAAAACATCAAGTTCGATCCCGAATTACAAAAAGCTTGCTCTGATGAAATTAAACAATATTGTGATCACGTTAGTCCCGGAAACTCACAGGTAATTGAAATATTATTTAGACAGACTGAATCTAAAAATATATTACATTTATTTTATTAAAAAATATTTTTGAAATTTATAGGTATTGGAATGTTTAGCATCAAAAAAATCAAAACTAGGAGAAAAATGCCATTCTCAACTGTTTAAAGTTAGAAAACAAGAATTCCAAGATAGTGCTATAGATTTCGCTCTTTTAAATACTTGTCGTTCTATGGTCAAACAATTTTGCCATGACGTTGATAGATCGAAAGCTTTAGATTGTTTAAAACGATACAAAGATGAAGCTATGTTTGATGATAAGTGTAAAAGTTTTGTATTGAATAGAATGGCTGAACAAAACACTGACTATAGGTTCAATGCAGCATTGCAGTCGGCTTGTTCAGTTGATATTAACAAACATTGTAAACGGGTGAGGAAAAATACTCTGAAACTTATGTTGAATCTGTCATAGACAAAATTTCATTTTTTTAAATATAATTTTAGGAAATAAAAAACCAACCAGCAAATAAAGAATTAGAGGGCAAAGTAATCCAATGCTTGAAAATCAAATTCAAAGAGGCAAAGCTTTTGTCTAGGTGTGAACTTCAAATGGAAAATATACTACGAGAAGCTGCTTTAAATTACCATCTCAACCCATTGATTGCTGCATTATGTTCTGAAGAGGTAAATTTTCAAAATACATTTTATCAATTCGATTCTACATGATTCTTAAATATAATTTACATACAGATTGAAAAACTTTGTAAAACCGACGAAAGCAATTCTCCTGGCAAAGTCGAAGAATGCCTGAAAAATGAGTTTACAGCAGATAATAAAGAAATGAAAGAAGCTTGCAGAATACAAGTGGCAGAAATGATTGAAGAATCTAAAGCTGACATAAATGTCGATCCACTTTTACAACAAGCTTGCGCTGTTGATGTTAGTAAATTCTGCCACATGGTACAACCCGGAGCAGGCAGACGTGAGTTATCTTGTCGTTTAAAAAATAAAATTCTCAGAGTTATTTTTTAAATACGTAAATACACAATTTATTTCTTGCAGATATTAAATGTCTACAAAATGTCTTAAAAGACGAAAAAAGTTCCCTTCAACCAGATTGTTATAAAATGTTAACCACTAGGATTGAAATGTTTAAAAATGCAGAGAAGGTAAACATAAAACTGCTACTAATTATGACATAATTTTTAATATGATAATGTTTGAAAAAAAATGATATATTTCAGTTGGCAGCTCCGGAAACGTTTGGAGAGCTTTACGAGTCTGTAAATCGGTCACCAGCAAAGAGATACTTTTTAATCTTCGCATTTTCAGCAATAGGCATTATATTCGTTATGGGTTTATCGTGTGGGCGAATGTCACATCGCACAATGTTGATGAAAAATAAATGATTAATCAACTCAAGATTTCGTGGTAAAACCAAATTAAAACGCATATACACTCGCAAATCTTGCGCTATCTGAAATCATCAAAAAACATCGTGCGAACGATAATATTGTAATTTTGTACTGTTTTGGGACCGCTTTGATTTACTAGCTCTATAAGTAGAAAAAAATTCCAAATTCTTTTTAAGACTTATATAAGTATTAACGTCCAGTGGTGATGCGAAGTGCGTAATAATGATAATTTGTAAAGATTTTGTAAAAAGTTTATGTAAATTATATAAAATAGCGATAGTCAAATAATAACAGTCACTATTACGAAGTAGAGAAATGCATATTTGTGGTTGTTGAAATAGAATTTAAATAGACGTGGTTCTAGAGAAAATAAAAATTACGAGATTTAAGCAAAAGTGTTATACTTGTTTCAAATAATTAATTTTCAGAAAAAACGAATGAATTTTGATTAAAAATATTTCACGCTGATATTGAAAATTGAAAATTCGAAATCTTCACTAAGCAGCTTATACGAATAGAAATTAGAGTTAAAGTACCTGATGGATTATTTATACCATTATGATCATTCAATGTCTATTGTAAGTATTCAAAGTTTAAATAACGTTTAAATGAATTCTCTAATTTTTAAAATCAACATACAATTGTTATTATTGATCAATGCTTGACTAAACACTTGATGAGTATTGCATTTTTGTTTTAAATTTCAAAAAATTCGCATTAACCGCAATCGATAAACCAACAAATTTCAAACTGAATCTTGTGATAACAAAAGGAATTTATTTGATCGAACGCGCGAGCAAGAGTTGAACTCTGTTGTATCAAATGGCATCCGTGGCTTAGGCGTGTGTAACACCTACTCGAGACTTTTACGCACACATGCAATACGCGTGGAGAATTTTAAAAAAGAAAGGCTCAAATAGGCTTTCTTGCTCAATGCTTCGTGCTCGTCACCACAACAATTTCAACTCACTGCGGCTATGCGCTTTGTATGTACATACATACATGTTCTCTCTCGCGGGCCACGCATCATTTGAATTGTAATTCGTAGACGGTGAAGAATGTCAAGGGACTCTATATCAAACTCAGCCATTAATAATAATAATTGTGAAATGTTTCAGTGGCATTATCGCTTTCTTCGGTGTTGTAATAACTATGCACTACGATGTGCTCGCTTTAAGCGGTTCCCAAATAGTGGAATACACATTAGCGAATGAACTTGTTTTTTCCATCGTGTTTTCTTTTACAAGTCTGTACATACGAGAGACAATACGATTTTCAATTAGTTTACCGATAGTTGTGCGCCTGATCTGTGTGAAACTGACTCAGCCGAATCATCACCATTATAAAATATATCGTCAAAATTTTGTAAACTATTTTTATGTTTATATGACGAATATGTGATAATAAAAATTATTACCAGTAAACATTTATTGTACAGACATAGTTATTTCAGAGCTGTCTTATTTCTTGCAGTATGTGACATGTATCTGACGTATTTTCGTGCTCGCCGACGATGAAGACATCCATCTCGGAATGAGAAAAGCCCGTAACATTTGTCAAGGAAAGCCTCGGTGTGTCTTTTTCGTCTTATCTTGCGGCACACGTCACACACGGGGACCCCCAAAGAGAGCTCGGAGCGATTGGAAAAATATATCACGTACGCTGCGGCGCATATAGGGGAAGGGCGTATACTCGTTTTACGTTCCACTTTGTACGCACGCATCGCTCCTTTTTGTCACTCTTTTCTTTTGCTCGAAATTCCTTTTCTAACGTCTTTGATACAGTCACGTCTATTTGCTAATCTAGTGGTGGTCGAGGCTCTTCTCTTATTATTAGAGCTTGAAACTGAATCGAATGAAGTGGACGTTTTTCCGTTTTTTTCGCAAAATGTCAACAAAAGTATGTCGAATCTTAAGGACTCGCGAGAATGAAATATGCCATACAGGAGACAGATAATGGAGCTACTCTTCCCATAAAAGCGTAGTATCGTGGAATTTTTCATGCATTTCAAAGCGTATTTATAACTTCCGCATCAATGCCATTTATGACGTAGTTTATATATGAATAACCTTTTTTCGTCATTCTTTCCTTTACGCGAGCCTTTGCGTCAAAGCCACCATCGCTTTTAATCAATCAATAGTTTACAGCAATATTCGTTTAAAGCGAGAAAAAATTGCGTAGTCGGCTGTCGTCATGATTTTGTATATATATACTCACACACACACACACATACACGAATATGACTGAAGCCGTCATGTTTTTATCATATATACAAGAATATGGCAAATTATTACCGATTTCAAGTATTATTTAATAAAAACAAGCTACGGATCTCTCGTTAGTAGGGTAATAATTTTATTAAACGACATAGTCATTAGAACACGCGAAATTATGTACAAACTTCAAAACAATAAAATTAAGCGCAGCATTAGTCAACATCAAACCCGCACTGAATGCTACGAAAGAACCTTAAAGTGCTAGCAAAGCTTTTATCTTCGTCTTCTTCGCACCGAATTCCACGAGTAAACGTACCTATAAAGCATTCATTGCTAGGGAGGCGCTTAAAAAAAAAGCTTTGACGAGGAAAAACACACGCTCTTTGTCGAAAAAGCACATTCTGAGTGCAGATCAAAGTGTTGACGCGGAGGAAGCAAAACCAAAAAAACAAAAAATAAAAGTGATACTGTTGATGTTTAGCCACCATCAGATGTTTTTCCCACTTATATTACTTTCAACGTGATACTCGATCTTACGCGGCAGCTATGATATAATAGGCGCGGTTCTCTCCCTCTCTTTCTCCTGTGCAACCGCATTTATAAGGCCATGGCTTGATCATTCGTAGAATGAAAAAAAAAACTTGATCAGGTTGGATTTTTCTTACTCTGGCAGTTTATGTGTGTAGAAGAAGATTATACGAACAAAGATTTAATTGATGAACTATTGTTGGTTAATTATTATAATCAAGTCTTTGAGATGGTTAAAATTCGTTGATTAAAATTGAAATCTCGTCGTGAAGTTATTAATAGATAAGCGCGATTTGATATCAACCGATTTTTAACGTCGTCGTGGAAAAAGAGTTTGATTTGCATTACCTATAGAAATATATAGCTTTACAATAGTGCGTTATTACTTGATTAGCCTGATAAGTGTAGAAAATAACTTTTATATCTATCGATCAATTTAAATATACACACACACACACTCTGAAAAAAAATTATTTACTAATTTCAAAATACATTTTTGTAACGCACGTAAATAACTATTACAGTTCCGATAATTCTAATAGTTACTTGAAATAAAAGAAATAATTTTATCAGTTTGAAAATAAGGTAGTAAACGAAAAAATATTCTTATATTTTAAGATGAAGTATTTGGAAAGTATATCAAGAGACGAAGATGAAATAGGAAGAGAAAGGCGTAAGAACGATAGATGCAGTGAATCAGGAAGGATGAGGCTGCAACCTATAATAAAAAATGAAAGAAAGAAAGAAGAATGAAGAAACACCCACGAAGTGAGAGCGAGCGCGCGCAAGAGAGAGTAGAAATGTAGGAGTAGGAAAAAGAGATTGATAAAAGAAACGACGTAACAAGCGCACGACAATAGTCGATCCGAAAAAGCCATCCGACCGCGCGGCGCGCTGCAATCAGTGAAAGCCTTAGCGCCATTTTGCACGTGCAGCGGTAAAAAACACGCGCGCACATACATACACACACATTCGCAGCATAAGGTCTGTTCTCATTAGCTGCTCAAAGCTCGTTTACGCAGCTCGCCATCGTGTTAGACACACACCTATCGCACACACATGAATATATATACACACACTGTATTTCGAAGCGCGTCACGCGTCTGCGCAAGAAAGAATAGCCGTGAGTGTTGGTCCACCACCACAAGAGTACAATATACGCGCGTTGCGAGCCGCAAGCGAGCGAGCGAAACACAGCGAGTGTGCTAGCGAGCATTACGTTAGGTTGTGTGTTGTATGTGAGAAGCACAGCAGCAGTGAGCAAAGTAGCAGCGGTAGAGAGCAGTGACGGTGATGACGATATCATCGGGCGGAGTAGCGGCGGCAACGAGAGCGACAGTCGACTCTAGCTCGTAGAGTCCAGAGCTCTCTGCCCGTGTGCGTCCGTCCGCATATATACACCCGGTGGCAGGTGTTAACGTTGTCGTGTCGGTGCTGGCCACAGCAGAGCAGAGGAAGAGAGCGTCGCTCTCGGGCGGCCCCCGCCGCACCAAATGGACGCATCGTCCATCATCACTCAGGTGTCGCGCGATGACGAGCTCGGCCAATTCAACAACGAGAAAGGTATCGACATTGTATATACCTGAGCCAGCATCCATTCTCTTTGTACCTACTGCACCTGTTACTCTCACTTGCTATCTTTCTTTTTCCAACGCACTCGTGCCGCGACACATACACGCATACGCTCTCTCTCTCTCATAGAGTGCCATGTCTTTTTTTGGCTGAGCGCTTACACTCCGCTCGATTTAGCACTCTGCCCAGAAAGAGAAAGAGGGAGAGACGGAGAGGTTAGGTTCTTGGGGGGCATTGGCGGACCCCTTGTAGATCTCTCTCTTTCTCTCTGTGTATGTCTCTCTCTCTCTCTCTCTCTCTCTCTCTCTCTCTCTCTCTCTCTCTCTCTCTCTCTCTCTCTCTCTCTCTCTTCGTAGTATTTTTGTTTTTATTGTACGCTCTCTCTCTCACTCACTCTCTCTCTGTCTCTCTCTTTCTCTGTATGTCTAACTCTATCTATCTCTGTCTCTCTCTCTTTTTCTTTTCCTCTCTCGTCACTGGTGGTTATGGATGCGTCTGCTCTTTTTTGTTGTTGTTGGATTTTTACCCTCTCCTACCCTCTTTTTCTATTTACTTTTCCACCGTAAGTTGTTTTCAGGAAGCTGCTGCTTGTAAGAGCGCGCTGAAAGCAGTTACTACCTGTGTTTTTGATCTTTCCACCTTTTACTTCAAGCTTTGTGCTATTTTGCCAGTGTTTTATCTTTGGCCTCTGTATCTTTCTCTTTCGCACGTGCATCGCCGTTCTTACGAAGAGGTGCAAGTTTTTTTTCTGCTTCATTAATGGTTTTTATGCCTGGATTATTATTGGCTGTGACATTGACATGTGTTGCTGCTTGCTATAAATACTCAATTTTACTGTTAGTTACAGTTTGTAGTTGATTATCTAATGACCTTTTACTTTTTTGCAGGCTTTTCTGTGGTGTTTAGTATTCAATAAGTTGTCAGCTTGCCATACAAACTTCTTTAGCTTTTCTGAGTCTCTAGAATAATAGAAATTCACTATCTTATATCATAACTACAAGTTAAAATTATTCATAACATCAATTGCATAAAGAAATATTTTGTAATATACTATTGCCTTTTTATTCTAGAGTGTAATTTATAATCAAATAATATATAGCATTAGTAGGCCTGAGATATTTGAACAATTGTCTATGAAAACTAAAATATGTATGTCTAAATTGACTAGGCCTATTAGTGAAGAGGATTACTCATTGATGTTGCAATCTGACACCATTGGTCATTCACATTCCAATCAAAATCATAAGTAGTACTTGAAAAGATCTAAATTAATCTATGCAAAAATTTCTCTCTCTCTCTTCCCCCCCCTCTCCCCCCTCTCTTTCTTTCTCTCTCTCTCTCTCTCTCTCCTCCCTCTCTCTCTCTTTAGGCCCCAAGTGATAATAACAATCTGCAAAACATAACAGATTATTGAATCATTAGACACACAGTATAGCATTCAAAACAATGCATAATTAAAGAGTTAAATTAAAAATTAGAATCTAAAGAGCAATCAGTTTAATGTCTCAAAATTTTCTAATTTGTCATGTGCATAAAACTTTTATATTGTCAATGAAATACAGAATAAAAAAGTAATAGAGCTAAGAGAGTATCATGGAGTATTATTAAATTCAAGGATTTAATCTATTTTATAGCGATGCTTTTAATGTACATGCTTAGTCTCTCATCACAACAGATACTCAATCTATCACACATAAATTCAAAGCTCCTTTCTTTCTGTTGCGTTATCAAACATACGCGAGAAACGTTTCTTAGATAAATTATGGTTGATAAAAATTCGTGCTCCCAATTCTGTCTTCTACAAGAACATTTTACAAAGTTATTTTCTTGTCGAAAACAAGATCGGCCAAATGATTAACTAAAAATACAACTAATAAAATGTTTGCAGCACAACTACCACGGGAGCATGAGACGAGCATCAACGGGCCGATCGCGAGCGAGAAGAAGCCACGAGGCGGCCGTGGTTTCCTACGTTCGCTACTATGCTGCTTGGGACGCGGTGGCCGTGCCAGCAGTTCGAAGTCGTCGAAAGCCAGTTCGTTGCAAGGTGATGGACGTGGTTCACCGGCACCAGGCACCGGTTCGCCGCGCTACCTGTTACCACCGATACGCCACCAGGACATGCACAAAAAATGCATGGTGATCGATTTGGACGAGACATTGGTGCACAGCTCATTTAAGCCAATTAACAATGCTGACTTTGTCGTACCGGTAGAGATTGACGGCACGGTGCATCAAGTTTATGTGCTCAAGAGGCCCTATGTCGATGAGTTTTTACAGAGAATGGGTGAGCTCTACGAGTGCGTACTGTTCACCGCCAGTTTGGCCAAGGTGTGTATATTCCTCTTTATTGTAAATCCAAATTCAACTCGGTCGCGTCGGCAATGACAAAAGCCACTTGTTAAATGAAATATTGGGTTTTTGAAATTCAGTCAAGTGCGTGCAAATCGTTGAAACAACACAGTGGTTCTATTCAGTTGCTATATGCTGACAATTTGATGTACAAATAAATATTACGCGCCATCGATTGTCACGACAAACTTTAATAATTTTTTTCTTTTTTACGTAACGACATATTTTAGCGTTTTTTGTATCGGACGCATCTTTTTTTTAACTCAGTCGACTTGTATATGAAATCTAACCTGCTTTATGGAGAGAGCCTGTGTTTTGTAGGTTTTTAAGTCGTTTGAATTGATCTTCGTCCGCTTGCAGTAATCGCGCACTATATGTGTATATGACTCACGTGGCAGCAATGTTTCATGTTTTCAAATAATACTCTGTTGTCGCGCGGAGAGCGACATTTACACTTTCGTTGCATAAAAGACAACTCGGCTTTGAAAAACGTGCGCGTGTGATATAATTACTTCGTAAATATAGTGATGTATTTATAACAATAATTATTCTTTTTTTTTGCAGTATGCCGATCCAGTGGCTGACTTGCTAGACAGATGGGGCGTGTTCAGAGCGCGATTGTTTCGCGAATCATGTGTCTTTCATCGTGGCAATTACGTGAAAGATCTTAACAAATTGGGCCGGGATTTGCAACAAATAATCATCGTCGATAATAGTCCTGCCAGTTACATTTTTCACCCTGATAACGCGGTAAGTTTTGATTATCATTAGCGCTGATATTCAATTTTCTTTTTAGTAGTTAATCGTTTCATTAGTGAACTCGATCGATTAATTACATTGAATCTACATAGAAAAAAATTATCGGTTTAATCTTCTTCGACCAAAGGTTCATGCGAATGCTAAAGTTCGTGTAATTTGGCAGTACATTTTTTTTCAAAGTACGCGACATTCGCTATACAAATGATTAATTGCTCGACAATCATAACAGTATACTAACAGCTGTACTTGATTGAATGAAAAGTCAAGGCAAAGTCTGATGTGATTTAGCCAACGTATCTCCTTTTTATTGATTTATTTTTGTTTGTTTTACTGCAATGAAATGATATCAATCGATTGTCAGCATTACCGATTATAAAACAAAATCGTTCATTGTCGATCGATTTATCGTTGAAATAGTTCTACAGATACTATGCGAGATGTTAACGTTTACATTTTTTATTTTTATTTAACTGAAGTGTTAATGTGTGCGTATATAGGTACCAGTAGCTTCTTGGTTCGACGACATGACAGATTCGGAGTTGCTTGATCTGATCCCGTTCTTTGAAAAGTTGAGCAGCGTGGACAATATCTATACGGTGCTGTGCAACAGTAACCATCCATACAATCAGGTGCCAGGTAGCGGTACAACAACGCAGCAGTCGACGCAGTTGAACAAACCGAACAACGCGAACACGACGCCAGTTGGTGCCTCCTAGCCCCAGCCATACCAGCGTCGGCTGGTCAGTAGTCGAGCTTCGTCGTCGCTGGTAGTCGAGGCGACGCGACCTCAGTGTACTTTCAGACGTATCCTCGCAAACCTTCGCCAATTGGCGCATAGCTATTCGTCCTGTATACAACAGCAGCGGAGGTCTATTGCTCATCATCATCACCATCATTATCATCATCATCATCAGCATCAGCCCGAGGATTGTGAATCCTTAGAGCGCCTTGGCGATGATAACAATAGCAGCACACAAGCTAGCAAACCGACGAATAGCACATCAGAGTGAGGATTATATCAATTTGCAGTGCGAAGCCTGTTTCTTTTGCGTAAGAGCTTCCTTCGGTTTTTACATTTCAATCAGACAACTGCTATTACTTTCGGCCTGTCAGTTTTATTGCTTTACTTCACTGTATGAAGTTAACGATCGAAAAAATTTTAATGATTAAAGACATAGTGGAGTACGCGATTTCGTTACGTCTTTACTCATTGAACAATGAAACTAATGGTACTTTAGAATCTGAAGCATTTTTAAAATAAAAACATTGAAATGAAAGGATTGAAGCATGTGTAAAAAAACTAGATAAGAAAAGTCGTCTTTAGAGACCTGTTATTCATTGATCATTAATGGTATGTTTCGAATCGAATCAATGCAGTCATTATAGTCCTCTCAAAAGGCAAAGAAACTTGTGAAAACAGTGTTAAAAATACCGAAATTACTAGAAACAAACATGGGTGTAAGTTCTTGAAGACGCTCTCAAACAGATCGATTTGGTGAAAGTGGAACTTACGCAGAGGACTCAATAATTAGGATTTATCAATATTCATTGATTAATTATGAACTCAGTTAAACAAAAGAACTTCCAGAAAGTGGAATCATTTCGAAACGAAAAGAAAAATAATTATTATAAGATCATGAATGCGGCAAATATATAAGAAAAAATCGCAATAATACGAAAAAATTCAGTGATCACGTATATTCACTGAAATAATTTTTAAAGAGTACTTTATTTTTATTAAGAATTATAATTGATAAAATTTCGAGTATATTTGTTACTGAGTGTGTATGTATGTGTGCGACTAATTTAAGCGAAACGAACGAGGCGCGTGCGTCGGGTAAAGTTTATTTTATTAGAGTTATAAAATAATTTACACGTAAAATTATCAATGCCCAATAGTAAGATAAAAGTCTCGCGAAAATATATATTTATCTTCTTGTAATATACGCTATTTGACTTGTTGCTGCGAATGATTGATGATAAATATACTGTATTCCAAAAAATGTGTGTGTGCATATGAAATGTGCTGACTAGTTTCTTTTTTATCTTAAAGTAACTCTAACTTTAACACTAACTTTCTTTCTGCTTTCTTCATATTCTGCTGAGAGCAATGAAATACTTAAGTTTTATTACTATAATAATAAATACAAAGGCATTTTACCATCTGCCTTTATAGGATTAAGATTTGCTACTAAACCGCTACGAAAAAAGGAACTCAAATTTTAGCTACTAATTTTACAATTGGATTGCGAATCTTTTTCTCAATAATAATTATATCATTATTGATATAGTACAATCGAAAAGCGTTACAGTAAAAATAGAGCTATTACCGTAAGATAAAACCAATAAAATACATTACGTGTAGAGATTGAACATCTGTCATTGTTCAATTTATTCTAGAATTAGAAATTTGATATTCTATTACATATCTTAACAAGGGTCGTGGCAGCGACCTGCGGCATGAATTTCATTGTAACAATAACTTTATTTAGCTAAATTTAGTGATTGTCAAATGCAGACACTTGAAACGCATTTTTACTGCTGCTATTCTAATTGATAGATATACATTGATTCCATTAACCATTTATAAAAAAATTATTAAATTACCAAATAATAATTACATAATGCAGCTCTCTTTGTAGTCTGTATGAAAATATGGATTGTAATTTGAGGATGTTTAACAATGAGTGTTTTTCTATTTATGTAAGTTTCTAGGTATTACAACTGATTGACTTGAACATTTGTACATTGATTGATATTGATTTTTTGATATGAAAATGTTATTATTGGCTGAATTTTAGACTGTTTTTAAGTAAAAGTTATCAGTGTCAGCTATTGACGTATTTGAACCTTAAAGAAGGCTTTTTAAATTTTATCAAACTTAAATACAATTGATTCATTTTTTTAGTTCGACACATGTAACATTTTTCAAGTGTAAAAAATAATCAATTTTAAGATTTTTTCAATGAAAATATTAAAAGATGCACACCATAGCCACGCCACTCCATGTCAAAATAGTATTCATTATTATTTAGCTTAACGTTAACGGAGTAACTAACGTTATAAAAATAGTTATTGAACATTCTCCAGAATAAAGACGCCTACGACTTTATTTATACCTAACTGCATTTCTTTCACAGCGTTGCCTCATTATGCTGAGGGCAGAGTATCCGCTTCAATCAATTTCTGTGGGTATCCGGGGATCACCTCGGAAACAAAGCTCTTACAGAATGGGAATTGAGTATAGGACAAAATCATTAGCGCGATTGTTCTGGAGAATGTCCAATAACTATTCCTATAAATTTGGTCGATAAGTTAATGTTAAGCTGAATACCAGTAACTAATAATTAGGTATCGGCTGGCGTGGACGTAGGGTGGGTTTTCGTCTTTAATGTTTTTACATCTTTATTCGAGTCGGAACAATAGATATGTAGCATAATAAATTTAACCAATGAATCAACGTGCCTTTGATGAAAGTCGGCGCTTTTGCCAAATTTCATTTGATTCGATGTACACACGTTTCTCATAGACGCATTTGGCTCACCGAAACGAAAGCTTTTAGCCCTTGTAATATGTAAGCAAAAGAACATGTAGATAAAGCTCACGACTTTCAAATACGCATAAATACAAACAATGAGACTTCTTTTATAAGCGTTATGCATTGTGCATTATTTTGTTATCAGCAGCAAGTTAATTATCGCATCTTTCACGAGACTTTTAGACGCTCAAGAACACACTATTATATATGTGTATGTGTATGTATGTATGTGTGTATGTATGTATGTATGAATGTATGAATGTCTGTGAAAAGAAAGACAAAAGAATTCGACGCTTTTTAGCCTCGCATCGATAATCTTACAAGAATACAAAATAAACATGTGCGCAGCGACGCCGCGTATCGTTTATATATAAGCGAATGCGATTGTTATTCAACTCCCTCCTATGTATAAGTGTACACTGTATACGTGAAATTTGTCGCGATAAGAATTTATAACAGAGAACCAAGCTAATTGTTCATTTGTTTATGCTGATATGTGACGGAAGTCGAGCAGAATCGGCATTGGTACGTTTTTTTTTAATTCAGCCGGAGGTTCACTCATTTTCGACTTCACTTTTTTAAGCTTTTCTTCTCTTCGTATCCGAGTTGTCAATCGGCTGTGTAATTAGACTGCATGAATGTCCTTTGTTGAACACGAGAAAAAAGCGGTAGTTCCTAATTGAAATGTTCAATGCTCATAGTGATTATTGAACGCTCAATGTTTTTTATAAATCATTTCTTAAACGTTTCTTTTTTGTGTGAATTGTATAATTCTACGCATTTTATTATGCAACGATAAAAGTCGGAACGTTGTTGTTGAACTTAGCATATTCTCTATGTTTATAGTAGCTTTTTTATTAATAATCTCCACAACTAAATATCGAAATCTCAATGGTCGTGTCATCACAAAAATTCATGTGTTTTCTTTTGCTATCCAAATCGATCATCGAATCTGCTCGACCTCCATTAGTCCGACGCAAGTGTTGGTTTTATTAAAATATCGCGCCACATCGACGCCTGCGACCAAGTTCTATGTTAATGATTATAATCGACGCTCAAGCTGTATAAAACAAAAAAAAAACTATATTTTAAAAAAATTAAGCAATCGAGAGAGAGTGTGTGAGAGAGAGAGAGACAGAGAGAGAGAGAATAATCAACAGAAATAGAGCATTACTACTGTTCACGGAACAGTGCTTTTATAAACATATTGAACGAAAGAAAAAAATTATAACGTAGACTTTTTTTATAAGCGCAGCCAATCGAGCGAAATTGTTATGAATAAATGAACGTAGATAGATTTGCTGAAAACTTGCGAAGATCGCTCTATAAAGAAGATATTATAAATACATAATTGTACAAATGGGTATATCGAATGCAAATGTTCTCTTTCGAATTCACGAGTGTTAGACACAACACACTCGAATAAACACAATTTAACATACACAAGCTAACATTTAACGCAGTTTACACACGCTATAAAACACGCAAACTTACAAATTTGCGCCCCCTAGATGATGGTATTAATGTAACAATTATAAAGAAAAACATGAGATTGCCTTGATTTGTAAATAATATAAAACAAAGTACTATCGCAGCTTCCGAGTGAAGGTTGAGAAGAAGGATGAGTAAGGGAAAATCTTTGCGGTTTGCAGCGCGTGCCACTAAATACTTGAAATTAAAAAAGATATATTAATAATGATAAACGATATAAATAGTTATTATTAAAAGTGCGACTCGCGTCCGCGGCTTATGTAGATGACTTTTCGTACGTTTTTCTACCGACGAATCAGACATTTTTTAACGTTTGCGTCATATTTTGTACAATAAAGAAAAATTATACAGTAAAATAAGGATAACGAAACAAGAAGAGAATAATAAAATAAGAGAAAAAAATGAATGAGCCGTGGCCTCGCGAGCCGTGCGACATAGCTGATTGAAAGAGAGTCAAGAGAGAAACGATATAACAGCGTAAATAACATCTCCCGCCCCTCCAATTGTCCAGTTTGCTCTGTGATTCTGTGTTTAATAAAAATATATATATATATATATGTTTGATAATACTGGCTTATTGTTTTAATTACCCCAAAACACCCACTCATCTTTTAAATAATTAATTTAATTCTGCTTTTAATATTTTAAGGAAAAAAACAGATGATAAAATCAAATAATTTATTCGTATTGTAAAAAAGACCATAAAATGTTGCAAGGCATCTTACATAATACCAGTGAAATGTAAGTCGCTCAAAGAAAATACAATTAAACTCTCAACAGAAAAAGCACATTTTTTTACATATCTTTTTGAGAACTGAATGTTAAAAAAATATTTTATGAACTAACAAAACTTTTATCACATATCCCTATAAAATAGAAATACAAATACACATAATGCAACTGTTTAAATTAGCGTGAGTTTCGTCCTGCCCTGATTAACTTGCCAGATGTTGAGTTCTTCGTATTCTTCAATCAATGCGTTTATTTGCTCGGGGTTGTAGCCTTTACTAATACATCGATCCATAATATCGGAAACTTTGATAACTTTACCATCTACAGCCAAATCACTAATCAAGTGATACATCTTGCTCTTAATTTCATTGTGTTTGGGTACACCACTCGACATGTCAGAATAGTTGACGGAATGTTTGGAAGCTTCAATGAGTCTGTTGGCTTCCTTCACATCGTCTTTATCAACTTCGTTGGATAGACGAAGGCGAGCTAGAGCTGTGGCTAAACGCAATACCCCCAGCAAGTTACGTGCGGAGGTGAATGTTTGATCCGGGGCACTACGTGCTTCTCTTCTCATCTCAACGTAAGTTTCTACAAAGTATAAGTTTCATTTACTAAGTTCACCCATTGAGCAACTCATCAACATAAAGGTCAAGAACAATTATAAACTAACCGACAATAAACTCTGTAAGTTCTTCGGGAATAGCAGGTTCCCTAGTCTTACATACTTGGATGTATCTACGGATCAGATCCATGGGCAAAGCTTCAATTTCACACTCAGGTTGCTTTCCAAATTGATGGACATATGTTATGTGTTGAGCTAATCTATAAAAAAAATTTATAGCTTGTTTTGACTCACTGACTTTTATTGGATGCAACAAAAAGTTAAACTCTTACTTTAAATCGTTGTCTCTGTTGGCTTTATCTTGAATCAACCACAATAAATCAAATCTCGACAACAAAGCAGCAGGCAATTGGATGTTCTGCTCGATTGATCTCTTGGGGTTGTATCTACCATAGGCAGGATTAGCTGCAGCTAGGATTGACACTCTAGCATTTAGGCGAGCCATTATACCGGCTTTAGCAATAGAAATAGTTTGCTGTTCCATGACTTCATGAATGGCAGTTCGATCGGACTCTGCCATTTTATCGAACTCGTCGATGCAACAGATACCTTGATCAGCTAAAACTAAAGCTCCACCTTCCAAGGTCATCTGACCGGTTAAAGGATCTTTCATAATTGCAGCTGTGAGACCAACACCCGAGGATCCACGACCTGTTGTATATTGCGAACGAGAAGACAATCTCGTAATAAATGACAAAAGCTGTGACTTTGCTACTCCAGGATCTCCCATCAAACAGATATTAATGTTCCCTTTAATAAGCTATTTATTAATATACTTTAAAAATTAAAGTAATAGTAATGTATGTAATCAAAATAAAAATAACCTCTAATTTTTATGTCACCCTTCTTTTTATCAGTACCACCAACCAAAAGTAACAAGAGAGCTTTCTTAACATCTTCTAAACCGTAAATTTCAGGAGCAATTGATCGAGCTAAAATTGAATAGAAACCTTCCTTAGCCATTTCATTTATTTGTTCTTCTGTCAATTCATTTGGAGTCTGCTCATCATGCGCTGCACTCAAGTTATCTATTCTCTAAAAAATTTAGAACATCAATTATATCAAATCATTTCTAATCAAAATATTTAAAAATGAAACAATGCACATGTCTTACATGTGCATCCAAATAGGTTTCACTCAAAAGACCTGCAGATTCTCTAGCATTAAAACCAGTTCTGATAAGGGGTAAAAATATACCAGTAATTACAACTTGATCTCCTGGCTGGCATTGTCTTGTCATTTCTCCTCTACAATAAACTGTTAAAGTTCTTGGTATGTGTCCAGTTGGTACTTGATCACTCTGTATTTAGCAATAAAGTAAATAACTGATAATTTATATACCTATAAAGTCTTTAAGCTTTGAATGAACTAAAACTTACATGTTCCTGAATTTTTATTTCTTGGAATTTGACAAATTTCGAACCTTTGGTTTGTGCGTACAATCTACCACCAGATTTATTGATACGGCAGTCATCACTCTCACAGAGCTGTTGAGGCATATAAGTCATACCTGTTATTACCTGATAAGTTTCAGCACCACACTGATCACAGGTATAAGTGGCTACAACCAACAAGGGTTTTACTTCTGTACATCTTGTAACAATGCCTCGAACAGTCATAAGTTGCCCAATGCTCTCTGCTTTGATATCTCTCACTGAGAATGATTTAGCATCATTGAAATTTTTAAAGTAAATTTCACTGTAAATTGAAACATGGATAAATAGTTGTGTACATTGTTTTTTAAATGGCACATTAACGATAATTATACTTACAAACGACGCATGAGCTCTGGGGCATATCTATGTTTAGGATCCCTTTGTTGACCAGGATGTTGATTTCTTGCTTCCATAATTAAGCGATGTTCAATATAAATGTCTAAAGCATCTTTAGCAGTAACTGGTCGTTCTTTGAAGTCCGGAAGAATGTCTTGAACAAGCTACAGAAAAGAACAGAAAATAATTAACTATGCACATAAATAAAAAATTGACCATTAAGTAAATTTTGTATGTACGTTCAACAGTAAGTTAACATATCGACGAGTATTCTTGCTAACAATTTCAGCAAGTTCTTCATCAAAATCTCTGACGTCATCCAAATCAATAAATAATGCTACTTGCTCTCTATGGGCAATTTTAGTCAGTTGTTGCCTATATGGAAAATATTTGTTACCTGTTTTGTCATCCATCTTAGAATATTCAGTAAGAAGTAATTTAAACTGATCTGAAATGTAAAAATTATGCATAAATTCGACCAGCACGGTATTGTATTCATTTCGGATGTTAATTAAATTAACTAAACAATTAGACTATTGGACAAAAGTGAATTTGGAAATCGGAGTAATTGATTATTATAGGTACGAAATAAAATTTGAATAACTTATGGATTTGAAATAAGTCATTAAAACTTTACCTTTGTCTTTGTCATAGTCTCTTGAATTTTTAGGAGCCATGATTATCTTTTGGAGAATTAATCGATAAGAGTAATAAATACTAAATACTTCGTGAATGTCAAATAAATGGAGAAAACAGCTATAATCGCTCGCTCGAAATCGTAAAATTGTTCCGAGCGGTTTGTCGTAGTTTTGCCGTGTCTTTTCCCGCGTAAAGTCCAATCTGAAATAAGCTTTGATCTTTTGATGATGTTAGGTAGAATCGATTTACCGTTCGATTAGTCAATGTTTTAAAAGTATTTTTAAAAATTATTATACAACAATATTTTTTTTTGTGAAAAAAATTTCATTTTTAATTAGATCAACGATTTAAAAAGCAAAAATTTATTATAATGCAAGTTATTTTTAGAAAAATATGTTCCGCTTTTATCTATCGATAAGGCAGAGCATTGACGTTGTTTGACATATTATACAGTAGACACGCTTCTAAATTCGTTGATGCACGTGTTTCCTCTGAACTAGCATGCGATTGTAATAACATACTTTTAATCCAACAAAGAAAAATGGGGAAAACTAAGAAAGTAAAATTATCAAAGGTAGAAAGAAGTCTTTCTAAAATTGGTTTAGCTGAGCAAATGGAGGAAGATAAAATGGTAAAAATGAAGAACCGGAATAAAAGTCGTTATCAGAAAGAGGAAAACGAGGATGAGGTTAGAATTTTATTGCAAATATTTTAATTATATTTCATTCATAGTATTTACAAACAATATCATTATAAATTACTTTTTAGTTTGTAGATTCTAAAATCACACGAAAAATCTTGATACAAGCTCGAAAACAACAACAAGAGATCGAAGAAGAAAACGGTTTTGGTCCCTCGACATCTACAAAACAACCAACAACAAAATTAGGAGATGATTTCGAAGAAGATGAGCTTTCCTGTGAAGAAGATATTACAGGAAACGACGTTTATTATGAAGATATTCGAATTGATGAGGATGAAGAAAGAGCTTTAGAGATGTTCATGGATAAAAGTCGAAAACCAATAAGAACTCTAGCAGATATAATCATGGAAAAATTAACAGAAAAAAAAACGGAAATTGAAACACAGTTCTCAGATGCAGGTACTATGCAATTACAAGACATTGATCCAAAAGTTAAGACTATGTATGAAGGTGTTAGAGATGTTTTGTCAAAGTATCGCAGTGGAAAATTACCAAAAGCTTTTAAAATCATACCACGCTTAAAGAATTGGGAACAAATATTGTACATAACAGATCCTCCCAAGTGGTCTGCTGCTACCATGTATCAAGCAACTAGAATATTTGCTTCTAACTTAAAAGAGCAAATGGCTCAGAGATTTTATAATCTTGTACTATTGCCTCGTATCAGGGATGATTTGGCTGAATATAAAAGACTGAACTTCCATTTGTATCAAGCTCTTAGAAAATCACTTTTTAAGCCTGGTGCTTTTATGAAAGGTATTTTGTTACCTTTACTTGACTCTGGAACATGCAGTCTAAGGGAAGCTACAATTGTTGGGTCTGTAATTGCCAAAAATCATATACCTATTTTACACTCAGCTGCAGCAATGTTGAAAATAGCTGAGATGGATTATACTGGTGCTAATAGTATTTTTTTAAGGATATTATTCGATAAAAAGTATGCTTTACCATACAGGGTTGTTGATGGAGTTGTCTTTCACTTCATAAGGTATACTCTTATTTTATTACTCTATCATTAGTAATTGACATGTATCGTTTACTAATATATTGTTTTTATCAAAAGATTTGAAAGAGATAGAAGAGAATTGCCTGTGCTATGGCATCAAGCCCTCTTGACTTTTGTCCAAAGATATAAAAGTGATATTGTGACTGAACAAAAGGAAGCTTTGTTACAGTTACTCAAAAAGCAAAACCATCACACAATCACTCCAGAAATTCGTAGGGAATTACATGCTGCGAAATGTAGAGATATTGAATTGGATGCACCAATGGAAGAATCTATGCATTGATAATGCTATAATAAATAAGTTTATTTGTACAGATACTTTTTTATAACATGTAAAACTATACCAAATTTTAAGAAAAACCAGAATTTTCTATGAAATGTTGCACATAATTAAAATATATCGAACAGTACGTACATTATTAGTTACAGTTTTTAATTGCAAGTATTTACTCAGTGTAAATTTATAACTTCTCTTAGATCTATCTAATAGATTATCAAGTTATACATACATGTAAGTAAGCATTAATTAGGCGTTAATTAAAATTTCGTTTATATACAGATTATAGAGATGAGTAAAAATTCTAAAAATACACTACTTTTTTATTGATTATAACTAATGCCCTTGGCGGAGTTATTTAAGTTATGAAAATGACTTTCTTGATTACAAATAAGTTATTTATTTAAAAGAAGCAAGTCTATTTACAAGAAAACTACAAACATCTGCGAAATACACCTCAATTCTGTTTTACAGAATAGCAAAGAATTACGTAAAATTGCTATCAAAATTCAACAATCTTATTTCAAAAAATATCAATTTCAAAACAAATTTTATAAAATAATACTCTAGCTGTCATGTTGTTTCATAAAAAAATATTTGTGAATACTATGTATTGATAAACGACATGAATTGTCATCTGAAAAAAAATCTACTTGCTGTTAATCAAACTTTTAGTTTAAATACTTTCTACTTTGTTCGTTAAATGCTATATAATCAATCGATATCCTAAGTTCTTTATTATTGACGTTTACGTAATAACATTCATAGGAACATAGACTTCAAAGTGGCTTCTAGCAGTTTGTCTTTTTTGAGCCATAGCTTTGTAATTTGTGCAAGCTTTTCATTTTTTCTTGAAAAAGCTGGTAATACTTTTAGATCCTGCTGCAGCCTTTTGTCTAGCCAAATCTTTTTTGGATACTGGAGGTGTTTTGGTAGGCTATAAATATAATAATCATTTTAATCAATATACTTCAGTTCAATTTAATAAATAATTAAAAAATCAGATTTGAGTAAAGAAAACAAACTTTCTCTGGTTTTGTCAAATCAAGTGCTCCATTTTTAGGTGATTCTTCCTGTACTTCTCTTTTAGGCCTTTTTTCATCTGTAGCTTCTCTTGGGCTGGTTAACTTTCTTTTCTTTTGATCTGAAGTGTCAGGCAAGTTAAGATGCTGTAGTAATTTTTTAGACAAATCCTCCATGAGGTAATCAGAAACAATACCATGAGCATACTTTAAATACTCTGAAAAACAAATACCATATTGGTTACATTATAAACTTTACGTAAAAACAATAGTTCCATGGATAATAAATTTCATTAAATTACCTGTTTCAGTTCCACTTTCTTGCTTACTACTTTTGACATAATTAGCACTAACAGCACCTTGAGAAACATGGATTCCTTTCTGTTTCAAAACTTCAGCTACTTTTTCTACTTTACTCTTCAGCCAGTTCAATGTTTTATCTTCATTATACTTGAATGCTTGTAGAGATTCATCTCCTTTTTGGTCAGCAACCAATGATAATTTTAAATTCTTGCATTTTACAAGACGACAAGTATCAGGAAAGTCTTCATCGTGCAAAATTTGTTCCAAAGGCATAACTTGTTTGGACTGGAAAACATCACAATATAAATATTTTAATCAATGTATCAATATGATAAAAACTTCATACAAACTATCCGCAAAACTCGTACCTTTATTAAATAAGGGAGAACCAAAAAAGCTGGATCGATTGATGTTGAAAGGTGCATTTTTCCATCTGACCTCACATTGTCATCGATAAACCAGGACCTCTTATTTTCATTAAATGTCATGACCTCTTGTATTGTTTGATCTCCAGATGTGAATATGAACATAGCAGCTTGATTGGAAGCTGGATGTCGGAGTTTCACCATGTCAGGGTGAGGACCTTCGGGATTGTCCAAATTTTCATCTAGGAATAAAGCAATAAGTTAAAAATTATTTTTCTTTTTATATGATTTAATGTACATCATACCTTTCATAAGGAAAATCCACGTGTTTGAGTCCGAACTTGACTTGACAAATTTTTTAGGAGATCCTTTAACGCGCGGCATTGTGTTCACCAATAGTTCTTTGTGCTTGATAAAAAATCACAAAATACCTCTTCAATAAACAGAATTCCCTTGTATTGCCCGAAAACTTGAAATAACACTATCGCGCAAGTAATTGTTCTCTCTCTCTCTCTCTCTCTCTCTTTCTTTAACAATCAGCCATCGTATTTTTGCAAAAAGAAAGTTAAAGTTGCAGGCAGTAGGCAACTATGAGAAAGCTGTAAAGCGTCAATACATCCTTGCCGAGTTCGTTGTCCTCATCTTGATGGTTGCTGTTGCACGTCAAGAAACGTCACGACGACGTTGCACGTATATATATAATCAACAAAACAGTTCGTCTTTCACTCACGCCGTAACGGCGATTGCAAAACCGACACAACACAAATGCTATTATGTTATCGTGAAGAGACAAAGGAGAGGAGAATCATAATAATCTACTTATAGGGTGAAACGGCGGAGCTCTGGCGTAGAGGTGGGCAACTATATGGGGAGACGACGCGTTCTCTCTCTCTCTCTCTCTCTTTCTACTCCCCAAGCAAGTTATCGATGTTTATTTTTCCTCGCGTTTTTATTGCGAAAATTTTACAGCGCTCCGTCTCGCTTCTTTGCGCGCGCGCGCTTTTCTCCTCTCCCCACTCACGCGTTCCCTTTCTCCTCTTTCTCTTCCTAGATAGACAAGTGGCGGGAATATCGAAGACGATCGTAACGATTCATATCGCAATCTTCGAGATTACAAATTTTTAAATTTTCGCGGGAAATATTTCATAACTCTATGCTTAACTCTAACTTACTGATGCCAAAATTATTTGCCAGTTAATATTGTCCAATCATATCCATAATGAGACCACATGGGTTTTGAATTGAAAATTATTTTCACTTGTGAAAAATATTTCGTAGGGATATTAAATAAAAATATATTTAATTTTTAGAATGATAAAAACGCAATAGTTTGATGTTATAAAATTAAAAACTCGAAGAAGTAAATATCATGCATTGTATCAAATTAGTTATTGAACAAATCATATTTTGAATTATGCTAATGGAATAATATGGTTCATCTTGGAAAACGTACGTCAAGTGATAAACAAGGAACAATAATTATATTTTTCGGATGAAAATTCTTTGCAATTTTGATGGTTCGATGATTTTGTCTAAATAATATGGCATAGCTTTTTGTTTCAATTCCACCAGTCGTTGAGAATTATTCATTGTATAAACACGGCAACTTACAAGCGCTTTATTCAGTTGAAAGTGCCATATACGCAAAAAAGGCTGCGCACCCTCAATTAAAAATACACAACATGATCTTATGAAACGGACTTTATTACAATTCGTGCGCATTCATGGTCAGATCGAAAGGTCTTTTCTGTATAAGTCATTTTCTGTAACAAAATAATCAGCTGTAATCGTGTCAATATTATTCATAACCCAACATTTTAAAAATTCTTGTAAAAAGCAGATCTCTGAGATTAACGTCCAATACATTTGAATTGTCTGATAGAGAAAAAAATATGAAGTAAATTCTCTGCAATCGAAAAATCCAAAATATTGTCAACTGCTCAACGGAAAAAAACCAGTGCTTTGTCGCTGCCAGTGCCTACTGCACTTAAATAGGAAAACAAAAAACTATAGCGTTTACGTCGGCTACCGCCTACTGCACTTCAACAGATTTCCGAGCACTTGAGAAGCCTACCAGATGCGTGACACTTGAAATTCCCATAACGTACATCCCTAAAATCCATTGGTTTCTGAAAATCCAGCTGCCAACGTCAAATCTTATGTTCACGTTCATCACATGACAACAAAACGATTAGGTGCATTATCCGACTCTCCGTCGAAAATTCAATCAACATTCTGTATTCGAGCAGCGAGAGAGAGAGAGGGGGGGGGGGAGAGAGGAGCTTACTCGAAAATTGTATTCCTGCCGAAAGACTGAGTGCTCGGAATGCATTGAAAAACTACACGGTGAAGCTTCGCCTTCTCACGGAGTTCTGCGCGTACACACGCACACACGCGCGCACCAAAGAATGACATTGAAGCAAAGGTTGTTTCTTCTTTTTGTGCGTGCTGCTTTCGTTCGGGGTGCTTTAATTAATGCCAATTTTCGACTTTGAAGTTTCGCTCGCGTGAGAAAATTTTGTATTCTTCAAAGTTTGCCCCTCTGCCGTAGAAATTATTCGAAGTCTCTTCCCAATGGGCCATCAGATGCAAATTATTAGACGAGCCGTGTGTGCTTTGTTGTTCTGACACTCTAATTATTGATTTCAAATACATTTTTTATAAGGTTGCCACCGTTGCCGTTGAAAGAATTACCCTCAGAATCCCTAGAAATTATTGTTGTGCCACGTTAAGTGGAATAATTTCTAGAGACCCCGAAATTTTTACTGCGGCAATGCTGATGGTTGCGTATATTTTTAAAGTAACTCGACAGACTTAATTTTTAAGCGGCTATACGTGAATTTGATCCCGTTTCACGTATACGAATGCCTGCGACTTGCGACTTGGTGTTTGCCCGGTATATGCAAAAAAAGTGTAATATAATGCTTTATCACGAACGAATATGTGTAAATGATCTTTTCCTGAAGTCTGAATGAATATTTGTTCGATTTACAAGACTAATTTATTTGACAAAAGAATCATTTCGCACTTTTCAACTCGTTTTCAGTTTTTAAAGTCAAACTTTCGTTTCTATGTTTCTTCTTTGAAGTTTTTTTTGAAGTAGCCAATTTGCTTGGTTATAACAATGTTTCCTAGTCTTTAAGCAGATGCAAATTGCTAGGTTGTTCGTTTGAAGATTGCGAGTAGATTGTTAAAAAAAAAACTTGCAAGACGAATTCAATTATTCTTGTCTCACTTTTACAGTTCGATTTTCCTTAAAAGGCAGTAGCACTGGCTGAAACGTCTACTTGAGATTCCGAAATAAAAAAGAAACAAATAAAGCTTGCAAAATGTCTTGAACACAAACGAATTGTTCAATAAACATAACGTATAGACTATATAGGCAATAATATACGATTGAAAGATTGGTATCAATATTTTTATGATATAGAATTGCCTGGAGATTTATAAAGCGCCAATAAATCTTTTCGACCTATAGATAAGTCGCGTCGCGTTTTGACGTATATAAAGTCGATGCATAAGTGTACACAATAGAATATCGGAAATAAACGTGAAATTGTGAATATAAAATCTGAGAAGTAGTCAACGTAAAGGCTTTATTCGAAAGTCGATCGGCGTTATCTTCAAACTATACCACTTCTATCCCTTCATTTCGAATTCACTTCTCGAGTTTTCGTAAAACATCGAAATATAAAAGAATATAACTAACTCCACCCTCGCGTGATTTGAAAGAATTTAAAAGGAAACGAAATCCCACTCAAAATTCAAGCCTCAATCGGAAAAAAGGAAGCCCTCTTTTAACATGGGTGCAGAGGAGCATTTCCTCTCTCTCTCTCTCGCTCTCTCGAAAAAACGCATGCCTGCTGCGACAGGTAGACGAATTCGCGCAGCAATGTCGAGGGTAATGGTGGGGGTTACGCCAGAGCGCAGCCACTCTCTTCTCTCTCACTCTCTGTGCGCTTGGTCGGACGGCCGGCAGTAGCATCGAGGCAATCGCGGGACGCGCATCTCGCGCGCGTGTGCAAACGTCGAGTGTGTAACATAAGTGTACTGCTGCTGATTTATATCGTTCGTTTTTTGTTGCCATTGTTATTTATTGTTTGTTGGCAATACGAACGAGTGAACGAATAATAACAGACGAAAAATTCCCGTAAATAAAAAGTTCGATCGACAGCAGGCTTTTGCGAAGATGATGCGTGTCCTCGTGCTGATGCTGCTACTCTCCGTAGCCGGGCTACACGCGGCTCCAAGACCACACGAGGATGGGCAGTGCGAGATGTTACAAAAATTTCTCGACAACAGAAATGCCAGCAGCTTCGGCATGGACTCGGTGCAAGAACTTAGCTCAGCCGCCTCCGCTGCAGCGCAGCACAATAGTAAGTGTCATCGTATATTCCCCCAAACATATTCGCGGCCAATGTCGACTTGTAGACCGCTTGGCGACCCCGTCGTCAACGATGGCTAAATTTGAAACGCACGCCAGTTTTCGCCGAATGCGCGCGCGCTCATAAATGGGGGAGTTTTTTTCCTCGTGCCGAAAGTGATTTTAACCGCGTGTAGCACGGAAATAGGCGAGAGACGTTAATGTCAATTGCTCTGCAAGATGAATTCGTTGTTACATTGCTAACAAGATTGCACTGCACAGACGTACCAAGTAGTTGCTAATCTGTGATTTGCATGTTATGCAGTTTGTGCAGATCAATTGCAAAATGAAGTTGTTAAACGTGTCACGTCGACAGTTGGTTTTACCTTTGATGCTTTGATAAAGTAATGGCTTACGTATGTACAAAGCCATCGGGTGGTCGCGTTTTATAACTTTTAATTGAGAGTTCGGTCGTTCGCTTGAAACTTATAACGAAGTTGTTATATGTGCCTCTCATCTCCATCGTCGTTCAAGTATTTTTATGCGATAATCAGTAACCGTTTTCCATAATAGATTTATCAATTATCGGTGCCAATTACCCCTCTCATTATCGGTTCTCCGATCAAGAAATCGTTTATTAATCTTATCAAACTACATAAACGGCTGCCGGGGCAAAATACGATAATCGCGAAAGAATCACGTAGCTTCGTATCGTTTAATTAAAGGATAAACCTCTCGTAGAAAGCTGCGCGTGATTACTTGTTTTCTTCAAATTATGCAATTATTAGGAAAAACGATAAAATAATTGCAAAGCTCTAACCTACTTGGCGATTTCGCAGAATCTCTGGTTCGTAATCGGCTGTCGTTATCATTTAAATGCCACCTGCGATCAAGATTTCGCGAGAAAACGCTGAGAATGCTTCTCTTCTCTCTCTCTCTCTCTCTCTCTCTCTCGATCGGCTTGCGAACTATATACACAATACGCTCTCGGTTTGTTTGGGCTAGTCAGCTGTTTTTCTCTTTTTTTCGTTACGCGCGGTGTTACGTGTCTCACGTTCGTTCTCTAGAACGACTCTTTGCTTATAAGTTGACTAAGGAAAAAAAGAAAATGAACGGGTATCGGATATACGGCAATTGGATAATTACATCGTTATCGCTTTATTCGCGAAACAATAGTGTGGTCGATGAACTCGCGCACTCACCAACGAAAAAAAACGTTCTTGTAACATACTTTGCGCGCGTGACAAACAACAATGCGCCGTTGCACGGCCCTATCAGTTTCTTTTGCGCTCTTGGCTCTGTTCTTTTCAATTAAGCGCGTTCTTTTCTCTCTCTCTCTCTCTCTCTCTCTCTCTCTCTCTCTCTCTCTCTCTCTCCTCTGTGCTATATAGTATATATATCGCGATACTTCAAAGGATGGGTAAAAGAGAAAAAAGCTCGGGAATTTACCCGGGGGATTCTTTCTTCCTCTCTCTCTTTCTGTTGCTTCTCATTTTCTGGAACGACGATAGGACGTCGCTTCTTCTTCTTTTTTTTTAACCTACTTGCGTTTTATACTTGTGAAAAATGGAGTGTGCCTTTTTCGAAACGTGCGAAATCGACTTGTCGTTTGTTCTGACGCCTTTTAGTGCCATGAAGGAATTCCGATGATTAATGGAACTTTTCTGTCGAGGTGAGGAGGGGGAGGGGGAAGGAGGCTCAAAAATTTTATAAGTTTTTTTAGCACTCGGGCTATTTATTTCCATGACGCTCTGCGGTTAAATCGTTCGCAGAAAAATTTCCTGATAACATAGAATATGAGATTATAACCGCCGATCGAAATCCTGGATAAGATTAAAAATTGATGTCATTGTCGATTCCATCGACTAGCGTTTTAATGAAAAGTTTATTTGCTGCCGGAGAACAGAAAAATAAAAATGAAGAAATCTTGAAAATAATCTCTTACTTTATAATACAGGAGAGCGAGAAGGAGAGAGAGAGAGACAAGCTTATAAACCGCTTAATCCTTAGGCGTTTTGAAATTAGAAACACACACGCGTCACAAAGACTGAGGGAAAGGGAGAGAGAGAGAGAAAAAGAGGAAGCAAAAAGCGATTTGTCGCTCGACTGCGCCGCAGACGTGCATGCGTGCACTCTACGCGAGAAAGAGAATCAACAACGAGTGAGAAGAACTTATGTTTCTTCTTCGCTCCTTTTCGCAGCTTGTTTAGTCTCTCTCTCTCCCTCTGTTTTTTTTTTCGTGTAATTACGCGCAATGTACTTTAGTAATTGTGCCACGCGATGATTCACACCGAGAGAGCAGTTGTGTTGTAGGTTTTGAGTGACGGCCGATATTTAATATCGCGCGGTAAGGTTGCAGGTTGGAACTTGCCTGCCGATTGACGCGAACAGAAAGGACGCTGTCTTGTCTTAGGCGCTGTGTGAAATTGATTCTTCGCCGCCGGATTATGCAAATTACAGCGCGTTTTTTCTGCGGCTAAGTGAAAGAGAATACAACAATTACATGTCCATCGCTTTGACGCTGAAGCACACAACGCAAAATAAATTTAGCCAACCAGTTCCAGCATCCAGCAAAAAGCAAAAGAAGCAATTACAAGCTGTGAATATAAGGCGAACCAATTACAAATTTCTCCCTCGTGTTCGCAAAATCGTAGCTCCGCCCACATGATTAACCTCTCTATTTCCGCGAGAGTGGCAGCGGCGCTCCTCAATCTCTTGGCGGCTTCAGATTAATTCGGACAAGGCTCGCACGCGATCGCGCTTCTCTCCTTTTCTTTTCTTCTTTTGCTCTCCTTCGTCGCTTCATTTTTCAGACGAACAAGGTGCGCCGCCAGAGCAAGAGAGAGGTTTTTCCTATTTGGCGCACATCGTTCCCTCGTTTGTTCGCGCCAAATAATCGACGAGCCTTTCGTTTGCGTATTTCTATTGTACATGTATGCTTTTATTTATTTATTATTTTTTTTTCCTTTCGTTTGACCGACCAGCGTTTATTTAGTACTTTGTGCCAGGACAAAAAACACGAAAATACACAACGGATTCGCATTAATAATCGTGGATTCTTGGTCGATCCATTCGTTAAAAATACATCACAGCGTTCTCTCAGATTGCCAATATTTCCGGAAAATCGCGCAGCTTGCAAAATTGATCGCAAAACAATTCCCCAGAGATAGGTGCCGAGAGAGAGAATATCTGCGGCGTAAAAAATGCATTTATATGTATACCTCGAGGGAGACGGCGAAAAAGAATGCAGATATATACGTATGTGCGTTCGGTGTAATATGTATAGTAATATATATAGATAGCCCGCGGGATCGCGTGTGCGTCATAGCTGCGCGTTGCTCGCGTTTAGGCGAGTCACTCATCGAATCGGGGCCGAAGGGTCGCTCGCTATATACTCTCTCCTTCCGGTTTCGCCAAGCCATCGCGTCGCGCATGGGGCTAACAGCCATGCTTTTATTGCGATATATATGCTCTTTTTTATTCCCCTCCCGATTGACAAATTGCGTGTGTGTGGTTTCACCTCTCTGAAATAAAAAAAAAAAACAAAAATATCTCACCAGGTTCGTCTTTAATTTTCTATCGGAAGTAATGATTCGTTTGGGCACATGCAGCCCCAAGAGCGAAGGTAATAAAATAATAGAACGTGTATTTTCCAAGTGTGCACGTGAACGAATCGAAGGTGAACGCGTGTGTGGTTCTCGTCGTTGTAATATACCAGAGTTACCAGGACACGTCGTCATAAAATTTGCGTCGGTGGAAATTTAAAATTAGCTCTCGCGTCTGCTTGCGAATTTCAAGAAACAAGCTAATTTGAATTTTCCGCGCTGTTTTCGAGAAAAGTTCCGTAATAAAAAGTTTTGTGCGCCAACGCAATAATCGACTGATTTATTAGTCGACGTTTTTGTTCATTTTTCTTTTAATCAAGTGGACGAGTCGTTTTAATTCGAATTGCAAGGTGCAAATTGGAAAGACGTTTATTACCCTCGTCGGTCCAAATTAGTTTTACGCGCTACCAGCTGGAGCTTGCAAGCTTGTATGTAACAGTTTAGTCGACTCTGAAATTATTTGCGACGTTTAATCTGTTAACTGATATAGAAAACTTGGTTAGTTGATGTATCAATTATTTCATAATTGTTTCTACCGAATGCGCAAAAAAAGTTATCACTAAATGTGTATTTTATTCAGTAATTTATCACTTCCGGATTCTCGTGCTGTTAGTTATTTGTTTTCGTTAGCATCATTATCATAAATATTAATTAAATCGTTAATTATTAAAAGTTCATCCGAAATATTGGCGAGACAGATGAAACCAAACAGACAACAAGTGAATTTCATCGTTGTTCACCCCAAAATATTCAATACATTTATACTTGAAAAATGAATCGCCCCGTGGAAGAAATCCTTTAAAAATTTCACGCCCAATAACAAACCTGCAAAGGCAGTTAATTCGGAGCCGGTTGTCTAGCCCTTGAGAGAGCTGCAGCAAATAAACAGAAAAAAACGCGTCTCAATAACCCTCGACCCTTCTCTCTCTCTCTCTCGCTGAGCACCCTACCAAAACCAACCAACCACCATTTACAAAAGCCACATTTATCAAGCCGAGTGCGTAACGGCCTCCTTAGCGCAATAAACTTATATATCAGCCACAAAAAAACGACGATTTTTGCGGTTAGCTAGTAATTGTTTTTCTTTTGTTTTTTCTTTTTTTTTTGCGGGTATCAAATATGATCTATAAACATACACACATGTCGCGCAGTTTATGCGTGTTGTATGCTTGTGTTTTTTTCCATTTCGGGTCAAGGATATACTTATTACTTTACTGCTTCACGCGAGTTATCTTCTTCATTTTTCTGCAACTTCATCGTGCAATTTCGTCGTCTATAAATAATTCAGGCAGACAAACTCGAAAGCAGCGAGTCCACGACTTGTCATTTGAAAATCAATATATATTCAAAGAATCGAAAAAGAAAGAACAGCGCTATAAACCATAACTTCGTCGTCGTGGCAGCCAGC